GTAATTTCATGGATTAGCACCTTATTCACATTTTCCTAAAGTAACTAAGATTGGGAATTTAATAAAAGCATTTAGTTACTTTATAATATTCATCATACTTTTAATGAGAATTTATAAGTCCTTGTCCTACCCGTTCGGCTAACGACCCTCCACCGATCAAGGAAGCGGTGGGTGAGAGTGGACACCCATTAAGTTGCCATTTTATAGGCAACAACCTTATACCCCCCTTATAGACCGGCTTCGTGAATGAGGCGTACTAGCGGTAAGACGACTTGACGTTATACATATATATATTAGTAACTTATAAAAGTATAAGGGTTGAATTTTAACTTTTCATCAAGACTTTACATGTTCCAAAACTTGAGGGCAAGTTTTGTAAACTTCCAAAACTTTTCATTTCTTATAACTTATGAATTAATTGAGTAATAAAAATGAAGACTCTTCATTTTTATAACTCTTGTGTTCTTTTAATGGCTTTAATAAAAGTGAAACTTTTGGTTTTCCATAACTTGAGGACAAGTTATGGACTCCATTAAAACACATTATGATCATGAATTAAACTACCATGAAGGTTACAAACAATTCCTATGATCATCTAATCTTCATAAGTTCAAGAACATGAATATGAACACTTTCAAGAATAAAAAATTACACTTCAAAAAACTTGTAATTTTAATAATTGCCATTGTAAATGGATTAGCATAAACATTACACCATCTAAAACAAGCTTTAAAACATCAAAACAGTTTAGGGTAATGTTTCTAGTCCATTTCCAGCAACAAATGTGCAAACTTTCATACGAGCAGAAAACAGAAAAACGATTTTATTTCAAGCTGTTTGCACACAAAAAAAAAAACAACAAACGAACCATGCTCTGATACCACTGATGGGTTTTGAGCATTCTAACACTTCCTAAGTGTACATGCAACCCTAATAACCTTGGATCTATGTTTGTCTAATAATCATGCAAAGTTGAATTCCAAGGTTATATTCCTATCTAGCATACATGGGGAACATTTTTAACTTGAATGAAAGATAGAATAACTTACCTTGTTGTTGATTATGATCCTTGAAACCTTGTGAGCCTAGCACCCCAAGTGTGATGCCTCAAATGCTTCACACAACACCAAATGCAAAGGAGTAAACTTTGAGAGAATCTTACACTTGCAAAATCGGCTCTAACCCTCTTGTTTCTTAGTGTAGCCTATTTTGGTGGAGAATGGGTTTCTTATATAGTGTTGACACATCTAGGGTTACACCATGTAAACCCTAATGTGTCATGACTCTTCATTTCCATGACCCATGGGTTTGTAACTCCCATGGAGCATCCTATGGGTGGAACCCAACTTGATAATCCATGGAGCCTCTTAGCCCACTATATAAGATATGGAAGATTTACATAATCTACCCATATATTTAATTAGTTATCTTTTGATCACTTAATTAATTCTAAATTAATTCTTGATTAAACTAATTAAATAATATTATTAATATATTAGAACTTATAATATATTAATAAACCATAAGTGTTATTTCTCTCATTTTAGTTTATCCAATTGCATGGTGCCATGCAACCCAAATGGATCATGCCGGGTCGGGTCAAGTACATACCAGAAATAGCTATGGACTTATACACCTTATCCAACACAATCATGGTCAAAGTCAAATTCAAAGGTCAAGGTCAACAGTCCATGTTGACCCAACTCGTCGAGTGCACCAATGAACCCGTCGAGTTTTTGTAGTACTCAGAACGTCGGGAAAACCCTAACCAACTCGCCGAGTTGGCTGGAAAACTCGTCAAGTTTTGCCTAGCTTAACAGATTCAGTCCTTTTATCGACTCTAAGGCTTCAAAATGTAGATTTGACACCCTGGAGCTGGAAAACCACGTAAAGTTGCCAACTTTACGTTCATGCATGCCAAAAGAGGCTCTAGAACTCATGAAAGGCTTAATAAAGAACTTAATGCATGAATGAGGCCTAGAAGCTAATAAAGCTTGCAACTTTAAGCCAAATGAGGCCACAAAATGGCCAGATCTAAAGTGACAACCCATAAAATACTCAACTCCTTGAACAACCCGACAGTGAGCCAAATAATCACAATAAAACTTCAAGGAAGAGATCTAAGAAATAAGGGAGCAAGGTGTCGACTTTATACCTCAAAAAGACTTCAATAAGTGGGGAGGTTCTTGATCTATAGCCTTCCTTTCAAACTAGTCACTTCAAACATAGAGCTCCTTCAAAAGAGTACCAAAAATCAACTCTCCAAGCTCCTACAAGCTCACACACTCAAATTTGGAAGATGATACACGAAATTAGGGTTTCTGGACAGAGGAGGCTAGCCAAGGGACTTAAGGCCTTTAAATAGGACGCAACACCCTAAAAATTAGGGTTTCTTACTCAGCTGCCAACTCGCTGAGTTGAGGCACCTCGACTCGCCGAGTTGGTTCATTATTATCCGCAGCCAAACGTCACCTCAACACGCCGAGTTGAGGCTTCCAACTCGCCGAGTTTCAAAGAAAACATGTTTAAAGAATTAAATTTCATACTTGAGGATTGGGATATTACACATTTCAATGTTTGACATCTTCACCACTCATCTTTGACCAAATCTAAGGGGTAGCACGAGGCTACCCCCTTGATAAAAACATATTCAATGAAAAAACTGATTTGGTTTGATTAATATAGCCAAGATTCTTCACTACAAACACTAAAAAACAAAAATAAAATCTAAAAAATATAAGATTCTGCATGGTGACGTATTCAATGCACTTAATATAAGATAAAAGTGTGCTCACTTATCAAGAAAAAAATATAACAAAATTATAATGTGGTGTTCAACATATGTAATAATTTATGATTACAAAAAAAAATTAATTGATGTTCAATATATGCAACATATATACAATCACTAATGACTACATATAAAGAACATATAATCGATACTAAAAACATAATTACATATAAAAATATAGCATAATCACGTATGATTAACATTCAATAACATAATTCACAGAAATAAACTTACATAATAAAATGGATCAAACTATATATAAACTTGTTTTCCATCACCATAAAAACAAACATTCTTCAGAATATCCATAACATAAACACAACATAAACAAACTTGTTCTTAATACATCAACATTAAAAAAAATCATCTAATCAACATCATCCATTTACTTCTAAAATCAGAAAATCTTTAATAAAAAAAAACTTGACAGTCTTGTTTCTATATTCCATTGAGCATTATATGAATGCTTACCACAAATCTTTGGATCAAATTTTTGATACTCATACGCAACTTTCAAAACATCATCATGCTTCGTATTAATCTCAGAAGTTTAAATTGCTGCTGCATATTTCATTCTCAACTTCTCCGTAATTTTTTCTTGAGAAGGACCTTCTTTTGGAAGACCACATTTCCATTTATAACTATTTTCTCCAAAATAACTCTCCATATGTCTCATAGCAAAAACACCACAATGCACTTTGTTATAAACTGTCCTCCATGGCATTATCAATCTTACTGGTGTAAGATTTTTATCAGCCATTTCATTTGCTTTAACATGACTGATCTCTTTTAGATACTTCAAAAAAAACTTTTTCTGAAAATCATATATGATTTGAACTCAGAAAAATATAAGTATAATAATTATAAAACATATCATATATGATTTCAAATCTAAAGACTAAATATGATTTGAAACATACAAGAGGTTTAAAAACCGCACCATACTTATCATCGAAATCAGCATCATCTGCATCATTGTCAATAACCTCAAAAGCAGGTTTCTTCAGATTGATAACAATAAGATATATGTGCTTTTGCATCACAATAGGGAAAAATACCTGACATCAACATGTATAATAATAAAACATTATATATATATATATATATATATATATATATATATATATATATATATATATATATATATATATATATAAAAGAAAAACTAAATATACCATATCAACATCCTTCAAAATCTTCAAGTCTCTATCACCAGAAACACTGAGAGACAAGTTGTCATTGAAAACTTTATATTTTCCAATTTCCTTCAAATGATTATATTGAAGTGACAAAGTCTGTAATATAAAAAAAATCAGAAATGATTATATAATAAAATGTAAATATTTTATAAAAAAAATTATTAATGATGAAAAGAAAAACTTAAAATAAAATCTTACAGTATCAACATCCATGAACAATCTGAGTGGAGAATTAATATCTCTGAATTTCTCTTCACGATTTAGTATACGACACCATGAATCAAGAACACTTACATGCAAATAGGTTTTTTTTTATAAAGACTTCATAATTAGCTCTAAAACCCATTAGATCTGATTCCATAAGCAAGACCATATCCATGTAGATATTTATTTAAATGTTATTAAAAATAAAAAATTATAATTATAAAAATAAAAAATTATATTTAAAAAAATTATCCTAGATTTCCTTGAAGACTGACAAGCCATTGACAGACAACATTTTCTACTTGTGTCAAACTTGGTTTAAAATCAATTAACCTTTCCTTAAAAGGTGACTTATAAACATAAGAAAACTTTATTTCTCTCTTTTCCTTTGACATCTACTTCTGATGTTCCTTCTTCATTTATATCTTTAAGTTTGCCAGACTTTGCTTTTGATTGACTTTTTTCATTTATCATTCTAGCTTGGTCGGAAATTGGTTTTGATGGTCCTTAAAATGTACCCAAAGGAGGTGAAAAAGAAACTAGACTAGCATTAATAACATCAACATTTGAACAACACACTCTAGCCCACCACTTGGTTTTCCCAAATAAACTCTATCCTTAATCTTTTTATTTTTCATCCGTTCAAGAGAACTTTGACTTTAAGATGCCTTCTTAGAACCTTGAGAATCTTGACTAAATCCAAGACTGAAACTTGGACCAGAAAACTTCTCAACTTTCCCTTCTGCTTTGTCCTTTTTCAATGATTGAGACTCATTTGAATCCTTCTATTGCATAATTTGTAAACCTTATTTAGCAGTTTCTACCCAAAAAAATTATAAAAATCATATATGAATAAACAACAATTATAAACACAATCATATATGAATAAACAATAATTATAAACTAATTACCTCCATCTTTATTTTTATTTGAACAATCTTCTATTGCTTTCCCTAAATCTGAATCAACTTCAACACCTTCACCTTCTACCACACCTTCTCCATCATTCTTTGCTTTAGAAAATTCAACTAACACTTCGACAAAACCTTTCAATAAACTTGGATGAATTAATTCATCTTCTTTCTTCTTTTCTACAATAACTTTATCAACAATATGATCTGAAATTACTTGTTTGTTATGATCATCCTCACCCAAATTTACAATCCCTAAATTATTAAAATCAGAAGTGAATCATTTATATAGCATATTCATATATATTTATCCAAAGTTTTAAGAAAACTTTCAACAACTGGATCGCACATGAATTGGCTAAAAGATACACCTTCCTGGCTATCAATTAGACCAACACTCTTAGTAACATTTTCGACAACATAATTTAAATTCATGACCTATTCTTCATTGCATCCACTTCCATTTCCTTGTTCATCATCTTCATCATATTTCTCATTCAACAAATGATTATTTTTACCAATATCGTCCTCATATGCATGATCATTAACATCACCATTACATTCAACATCATTTTTACCAATATTATCCTCATGTGGACCATTTCCACCCCCCTGAGCACCACAACATTTCCTTTGATCATCATCTTCAACCTTTTCATGGTCATTCAGAAAATCATTCCCATAATCTTCATCATGATTTACTTCTATGATTTTTTCATCATCATTAACTTGACCAAAAGAAGGTGTCAATATCGCTTCTTTACTTTGTTGTGAAACATAATGGAAATCAAAACTTCATGTGCCTAAATCTTCAACAAGAAATAATAATTTCCAATTTTTCAAATTTTGACTTTGAGGAAACTTCAACACTCCCTCATCTATCTATCTTTACAACAAGATCCTTTTTCAAATCCTCCATCTTCTGATACATATATGAAATTTTACTTTCATACACCTACATAAGAAAAAAGATACTTGAAAAGAAAATACTTCATCATAAAAAGTCATAAATTAATACACTAATAAAATAATAAATGAATAAAACTATAAAATTACCTCTACAACACTAACTTTATTAACATCAAACTCTTCTTCATCCTCATCACATAAATCCTCATCACCATCAAATTCATCCTCATCACCACCAGATTCCTCCTCGTTATACCAATATTCTTGACATTCTTCTTCAACATATGGTTCATTAACATCTCCACATCCAAATCCTCCATTCTCTTGTAAAATATCCTCAAGAAACCTTATCTTCTCTGACTTCCAATAAAAAATAGTTGGACGTTTACGTGTGACTTGCAAATGATCAAACTTGAAACTATCCACATACAACAACTACAAAAAAATATATAACAAATAAGTTGACTTTCTAAAAAGATTTACTTACACAGTTTAATATATCATTTATCATAATATATATGAATAATCATATATGATTATGATGTGTAATATATAACTAAACAAAAATTAGACTATATAATCATATATGATTATACAATCATATATGAGTTATACAAATCAAATATATCATTAATCATAATATATATGAATAATCATATATGATTATACAATCATATATGCTTCAAAATAAAAACAAACATATTTTTACAGCTTAAAAGAAGATTTAATATTAAAAATTAGCTCATGTACCATAAGGTATGCTGCTGGTTCATAAAAAAAAAGAAGATTCTTTCTCTGGGTTGTAAACCTTCTTCGTCCTTACCAAACCATCGACAATGAAATCGCACCCGTCAATGCTACTTAAATCAGTATCTCTTCTGATTAAATACAATGGATTCAGATTACATTTACCCATGCTTGTAGACTCACATAATGTAATTATAAAAAGACCCAAAAATTTTGATTCTAAAGTTATCATCCGCTGCACTAGTTCGAACAAGTTCATTCTTTAGGTGTTTCGATCTTAATTTATTAATATTTCCATACTGTTTCTTCCACCCAAACATACAGATCTCTTCATTATTCTCGGAAATGTAATCCATGTTTGAAAGTAATGAGCCACTAGATGGTAATCCTAACATCTTATGAACAAATTTACTATCAACACTAACTTAACAATTCTCAAACTCCACCTTCAAAGTTTCAAAATTAAAATGATCAAGAACATAATAAACAATCTTTAACGGTATATCAATCATCTTCATCCGTAACAAACTCCACCTTCAAAGTTTCGCTACTTAAACCTTGAATAACACCCAATAATGACCCAGGTGAACATCTGTTCTTCAATGAAGGAAATTATTTTATAACAACAACTTTTTCTCTTTCTTCACAACTTTAGCTTCCCTATTTGGTTTCTTTGAAGATCCAGGACGACTCTGAAAATCAGAATCATCTTCATTAGACAGTTCACGTTTCTTACTTAGAGTTTTGACCTTCTCAAAAACTAATTTCTTTCCCTTAACAGTCAGGTTCACTTTTGGTTGTTCAATAACTGTTTTTTTGGATTTCTTTGACCGTGTTTGCACTACCTCCTTGGCTTTTTCTTTTTTGGAAGAGGATCGTGTTTTCCTTGAGCTATCTAAATTACCTTTTTTAACTATAATTTTTATTAGAAAAATAGTGTTAGTAAAAAAAACATAATACATATAGTCAGTTACAAATGAAGAAGCATAATCACTTATGATTGTAAAAACATACCTTTAAAATTTTTAACCTTGGAATTTTTCTCTAAAATATCTTCACTTTCCTTCTCATAAACAGAAGCATTTACTACACAAAAATTAACATAGTTAGTAATTAATACAAAAAAAAATGCATATGACTAATAAACTATGATTTTAAATCACACAATCACTAATGATTATAACAACATAAATTTATCATTACTATTTACTAATGATTATAAACAAACGTATAAAATCATTTATAGTTAGAACTATAAATAAACATATAACTAAATGTTATATTCAATCCATTGAAAAAATCACAAAATCAGTTATGATTACAACAAATACCTTTAACATTTCTTATCTTTGAAATTTTATCTTTAACTTCGCCAGAAAGATCTTCGTATTCACGTTTGATACATAGAAATACATAATCACAAAATATGATAATCAATTATGAATAAAAAAATAATAGAATAAAATGCGACAAAAATATCACAGAAATCTCTTTGAACATCGATTTTCTGAACTGTACCTTTGGAAATAACACAACTTCTACCGCCTTCGAGATTTTTTTTTGATTTTTGAACTTTTTTCGAATATAGTTTCTTTTGAAATCTTTATCTGTGAAAATATAAACAACTACTTAGATCAAAAACCACCACAAACAAACATAATAAAAAACAGATGAATTGTAAACGAGAAAATCATCAAAATCAAGTAAAAATAACGAAAAAACTACTGAATCAAAACAAAAATCATCATTATCAAAATAAAACTGCAGTTAACTAATTAAAACAAACATGCATTATCAATAAAATGAAAAATTACTCGCAATCTAACCTTTAATTTCGATTAACGAATATGCGACTTCATTTAGATTTTCTCCTAAAGACATTTACTGATTTTTCAAACTTAATTTGCACAACTAACAAACGAAAACTAGGGCAAAATGCGAGAAGAAAAAGAGGGTTTTCGTGAGAGTTTCTAAGTGAGATTTTGATCGAGAAAGAAAATAAGAGTATAGGCGGTTACAGTATTGTAGCATTTGCAACACTTATATGATTCTTTGTAAAATTACAATACTAACCCTATGATGGTTACTAACAACGTTAATTTAAAAAGTTACTAATGTATTTACAATTATGCCACCACCACATTTTACAAATAAAGATCATAACATCAAAGGGCAATCCACCTATCTCACAATCTCTAATTTTTTTTATTAATCTCAAAGGAACCAACAAACACATACACACACACACACACATATATATATATATATATATATATATATATATATATATATATATATATATATATATACATATATTCTAGTGGGACCCTAAACATGTATGTATTATAAGATGTAATATATATATATATATATATATATATATATATATATATATATTACATCTTATAATACATACATGTTTAGGGTTCCACTAGATTTTAAGTCTATTATCTTAAAACTAAGGAGATGAATTATGAGCGTTTAGATGATAAAGCGAAGGTATAGATTATGATGCATGTGAATGGATTTAGACCAATCAAAAGCAACTATACTCCATGTATAATTTTTAAAGCGCTGCATATCATCCATAAGGGTTAAAGAAGCGTCATTGGATGACAGGTTATCAGACACACATTAACCCCCTTTATTTAAGGCACCTCATATTTCTTCTCAGATACAACTATCCATCTCTTCAACCTCCTATCGACTCCTCCATCCCCTGCCACAATTAGCTTCCTCCTATTGACACTTCTGTCAATGATATTTTCTAGTTTCTCCCTCGCACCACTTACTGCCGTTCTTAACCTTTAGAAACCCTAGATCTGTAATAGAACCCTTAGATATGTAAAATAACCCTATGTCTCTTCTTTTTGTTTGATTTCACAAGTTTAAGAATTGTTTTTTTGTGTTGAATGATATCTCTCGATTAATAAAGATTTTTATTCTTTTCAAGCTCTTTTTATCTTTTGATTTTTGGAAGTTTGCTATGAATATATTTTCCTCGGTTATTAGAACTTATTTTTTAGTTATTTGATTTGAAAATCTTTGCGTACAAACTTATATATTTACGTTCCATTTTTAGGATGTTTCTTTTGCAGGTGATTGTTAGTAGATTTGTTCCTACAAATCAGAAGCAAACAAGAACAAAGGCGTTGAGTAGGCAAAAATTATGTACGCCGTTGTATATAACTGTTAGAGTGCAAACCCAATCCCACATCAGTAAAAAGATATACTAGATGCTAGCATATAAGGCAGTGGGTAATCCCTTCTATCACCAATTGGTTTTAGAAAATGGAACCTCATTATTCTTCTATATTTAGCATGGTTGGGCTAGTAGCGATCCTAACATGTGGTATCAGAGTTGCGGTTTGTATTCCTGTGATTGAAGATGTCTACTCATAAGTTTGATTTGGAGAAGTTCAATGGTTCAAATGACTTCACTTTATGGAAGGTGAAGATGAGGGCTCTTCTGGTTCAACAAGGATGTGCGACGACACTAGAAGGAGAGGTAAATTTGCTAAAGGACATGGCGACTGATAAGAAGGTGGACATTTTGACGAAGGCACATAGTGCCATTCTATTGAGCTTGACTGATGAAGTACTAAGGGAGGTCGTGGATCAAACAACTGCCTTTGGGATTTGGGATAAACTTTGTGACAAGTACCAGAACAACTCTCTGACGAACAGGTTGTATCAGAAGCAAAGGTTGTACACTCTCATAATGTCTGAAAGTACCCAAGTGAAAGATCATCTGGATAACTTCAATCACATTATCTTAGATCAACAAGGTGTTGATGTGAAGATTGAAGATGAAGATTAGGCGTTCATTCTCTTATGTTCTCTTCCTAACTCATATGAGAATTTCATTGATACCATGCTCTATGGTAGGACAACGATCATTGTGAATGATGTGAATGAATCTATGATGTCCAAGGAACTGAAAAGAAAAGTTTCAGGTGGATAGGAGGTGTCCAGTTCCGGTTTGTCTGCAGGGAGATGGAGGACATAAGAGAGGAAAGGGGGAAACAGAGGGAGCTCACGTTCTAAATCGAAGTCTAAAGGTTCATCAAATGCCAAGTGTTATAACTGTAAGGAGAAAAGGAACTTCAATCGAACTTGTCCACAACTGAAGAATGGGAAGTACAAGAGTGAATCAAGCAGCAATAACACAACTGTTGTGGTTCAGGAAAGTTCTGATGAAGAGGACGATCATGATGTACTGACTGTATGCACATCAAGTTATGTTGATGCTTGGGTCTTGGATTCTGGAGCATCCTATCACATGATGTATAATCATGACTAGTTCAACTCCTTCAAAGAGTGGGATGGCACAATCAAGATGGGTGATGGTTGGGTGAGCAGTATTAAAGGTAGTCGAACGGTGCAGATCAAGATGCACTATGGCATGGTCAGGAAGTTAGATTGTTGGTACATTCTAGAACTTCAAAAGAGTTTAATATCTCTTGGTACATTGGCTAAGAATGGGATGAGGTACGCTGGTGAAGGTGACTGGGTCAAAGTTACCAAAGGTTCTCTTGTTATAATGAAAGGGAAGATGAATCGTGGAGGGATCTATATCCTAAAAGGTAGTACGGTTATGGGAATGGTGGCTATCTTCCAATCGTTGAATGAAGGTGATGACAAGACAGAGTTGTGGCATCGTAGGCTGGGGCACATGAGTGAGAAGGGCATATCAATTCTAAGTAAACAAGGACTGCTTGGTGGATAGGTTAATGGAAAGATAAAGTTTTGTGAAGCTTGCGTGAAGGGAAAGCATTGCAAAGTGAAGTTCGGTACCGGTCAACACACAAACAAGGAAATCCTGGAGTATGTTCACTCAGATCTGTGGGGTCTTGCACCAGTGAAGTCTCAATGAAGATGCTCATACTTTGTGACGTTCATTGATGAATATTCAAGGAAGGTTTGGTTATACTTTCTGAAGACCAAAGATGAGGTGTTTGGGAAGTTCAAGGAGTGGAAGACCATGGTTGAGAAAAGGACTAGAGCACAGGTCAAGACTCTGAGGACTGAAAATGGGTTGGAGTTCTGCAATGCTCCATTTGATAATTTCTACAAGGCAGAAGGTATAGTGAGGCACCGCACTGTACGGCACACACCACAACAAAATGGAGTGGCAGAACGGATGAACGAAAGACTCATGGAGTGTGC